GGTGGTAGCGGCCGTGCGGGCGGTGGAGCGGAGCGTGGACGCCCACGCCTCGCGGTTGCTCAACCTGGAACGCCGGACGGTGACCACCGAGAAGAAGTACTTCGACTGCGAGAAAACGGTGGTGGATTTCGGGAACCAGCTGGAGAGCAAGCTGGCCGTGCTGGGCACCCTCATCCAGGAGTACGGGCAGCTCCAGCGGCGCCTGGAGAACATGGAGAACCTGCTGAAGAACAGGAACTTCTGGATCCTGCGGCTGCCCCCCGGGGGCGAGCTCCCCAAGGTGACAAATGGCTCTGGGGGGGGACACGGGGGTGGCCGTGCTCCGACGCGCCTCGCCTTCACCCGGCGGCGTCTCCCGGGAGGCCCGAATCCCGCGGGAACGGCACATAGGCGTCAGGTGGCTCAGGTCGGTGTTTCGGTCCAGCCGTATCTCGCTGCAGGAGCCAGGTCGTGGCATTTTGCCCTAAATGCTGGGTTCTTTCCCCAGAGCGGGGCCCACAAACTGCCCGCGGGACGGGACCGGGCTCTGCCCAGGGGGAAGCGTGAATATTGTGGAATTCACAGCTCCTTCTCCCGGAATTAGCGCATTAAACCGAGGAGCTGAGAGGAGCTGAGCCGTGTCTCTCTCTGTGCCACAGGAATGCCCCAGGGCAGGATTTTTTTTTTCCTGTTTTCAGTACTTGATACACAGCAGCAGTAAGAAGTAGAAAGGAGGATGTTTCCCAGGGACGAGGATGTTTCCCGGGGATGAGGATGGTTCCCGGGGATGAGGATGGTTCCCGGGGATGAGGATGGTTCCCAGGACGAGGATGGTTCCCAGGGATGAGGATGTTTCCCAGGATGAGAATGTTTCCCAGGGACGAGGATGTTTCCCGGGGGCGAGGAGGGTTCCCGGGACGAGGATGGTTCCCAGGGACGAGGATGGGTCCCGGGGGCGAGGATGTTTCCCGGGACGAGGATGGTTCCCGGGGGTAAGGATGTTTCCCGGGATGAGGATGGTTCCCGGGGGCGAGGATGTTTCCCGGGATGAGGATGGTTCCCAGGGACAAGGATGTTTCCCGGGGACGAGGATGGTTCCCAGGGACAAGGATGGTTCCCAGGGACAAGGATGGTTCCCGGGGACGAGGATGGTTCCCGGGGATGAGGATGGTTCCTAGGGATGTGTCCTCAGCTCCAGGTGCCAGCCCCGGTGCCAAGCGTCTCACTTTCACAATTCCAGGCCCCGGTGGCGTTCGAAAGCGCCGCCGCTTACTTTTCCGCGCAAGAGTGGGAGAATCTGGAGGAATGGCAGAGGGAGCTGTACAAAAACGTGCTGAGAGGGAAGAGCGAGTCTCTGATCTCTCTGGGTAAGCATCGCCGTCTCAGTCAGTTATCGCCGCTCCCGGGCTGGCCCCATTTTGGGGACGTTTTCCCACACCTGGGAAGCAGATTTGCGGAAACGCGGAGAAGTCGGTGCCCGTCGCTGTGCATGCGTCACGTCCAGTCCCGCCGTCTCCAGCGCTCGCTGGGTGCGGGCGCTGGCCGCAGTCGCCTCAGTGTCGCAGCCTGCTCCCTGCGGTGCCCGGCGCAGCCTGCAGGCCCCTTCCCTCGGCTCGTGGGCTTTTTTTTTTGCCGGCGGAGGCAGGAGCAGAGGGCTCTCCATGCTGCCCGGCGGTGCGTTGTGGCCGATGGAGCCGGTTTGGGGAGCGCGGCTGAGTGTGTTCCTCCCCGCGGACGCAGCGGGCATTTTGATGCGGCACAGAAACCTTTGTATCTCTGTTCCTCCACAGATTACGCAATCTCCAAACCTGAGCTCCTGTCCCGGCTTCAGAGGGGAGAAACGCCCTGCGATGAGGACAAGGCGACCTCCAGAGAGATTCCAGCAGAACCAAGCGCAGGCAAGGGATGAATTACTACTTTATTCTCAGCTGTAACGTTTGCGTGGTGTTGTCACCAGACAGAGGACATCACGAGGCGATAGTCCTGACTCGCTGCGGAGGGAGCTCCTCCCATCTCAGGAGGAGCGGGTTCAGAGGGAGCAACAGAGCGTTAGGAAAAAACCTAACAGCGGGTTTGCTCTTCCCCACTAGCAGAGTCTCTGCTCTTCAGACTTGATGCGAACGTCCAGGACAGCAGAGAAGGAGCGCAGTGCCCGACGGGACAGGAAAGCCTGGAGGGAAGAACAATGCTGGCTGAAGCCGGAGCCGGAGCCGGTGAGCGTTGCTTGGACACACGGGCAGGGAGGACGCGCTCCTGAAACGGCGGGTGAAGGGGAAACCGCTGCTCCACGGGGTGGAGTAAAGTTCCCAGAAGCAGTAATGGGAGATGCTGGAGAGAGGCTGTAGGGTAGCTGGCCGCAAACCTCCCGGGCGAAGGAAGAGCTGAGCGGTGCTGTGCTAACCAGTAAAGAAGTTTCCTCTCTCCATCAACAGACTACGGCATTCCAGAGCTGAGCTTTGTGGGCGTCGTGAAGCAAGAGGAGGAGCTGTGTGCGGAGGAGCCGGGAGCCACGGAGGATGCAGAGTTTACCGAGCTCAGCGTGGGTGAGTTCCGAGCAATCCCACAGCGCACTGTGCAGCTGGAGATGCAGGAGAATTCCCGACGTTCCCGCTGTGGGACAGCGTATGCCGAGATGCAGGGACTGAGGAGAGGCAGGCAGGGCGGCGGGGAAAGGGCGAGAGCCTCGCTGAGGTTAGGAAAGCGGGCAGAAAATGTACGGATCGTTTTACTAGGAGGAAGGTTAAAGTGCTGAGTAGATAAGACACCGCGGGTGAGGAGACAGGCGTCCCTGAAATAAACCAAACAGAATACAAGGAATCATGAGGAATGAAGTCAAGAACAATTCTCAAGGTCTTCTCCAAAGACAATGTTACGCCAAAGTATTTGGGGAACTGAGCGAAGTTTGCTCACTCAGTCTTGAAAGAAACGCGGTAGGCAGGGACGCAGTCCAGAGCAGGGCAGCGAGGTGCAGAGCTTCCGCATCGGGAGAGGCTGAACGCAGCAGGACTCCTCAGGCTGAGGAAGTGTGGCAGAGAGGGGGATGCAACGCGGGTCTGTGCCTGGGGCGCAGCGGGAGCTGAGGGAATGAACCTTTGCTCTTCCTCACTCTCCGAGATCCAGGGAGCACCCAGTGAAACGAGCAGGCGTTTGCTGTAAGCCAAGCAGGGCAACGTCTGTTATCATACGTGTGCAAGCTGTGGAACCCACTGCCACAGGGCACAGCAAAGGCTGAGAGCAAAGCGGGCTTCGAAGGGGGTTGGACAAATTCCCGGGTGCACTCTACACTGGGTTGAAAACTGGCTGGACGGCCGAGCCCAGAGAGTGGTGGTGAATGGAGTCAAATCCAGTTGGCGGCCTGTCACCAGTGGTGTCCCCAGGGCTCAGTGTTGGGGCTGATCCTGTTCAACATCTTCACTGATGATCTGCAGGAGGGGATCGAGGGCACCCTCAGTCAGTTTGCAGGTGACACCAAGCTGGGTGGGAGCGTCGATCTGCCGGAGGGCAGGGAGGCTCTGCAGAGGGCCCTGGCCAGGCTGGAGCCATGGGCCCCGGCCACGGGGGGG